CCAGAAGACTGCTGAGCTCGAGTGTCAAAAGACGATGCATACAAGTGGCAATTTATGACCTTTCTTTTGTTTATTGTATGATTAACGATTTTATTTTTCCATAAACATTTTTCTGACTTTAAAATAATATGTGCTTATTGTAGAAAAACTGGAACATACAGACAACGAAAAATTAAAGGAGGTGTATTCTCATAGAGGCAAGACTTTCAAGAAGTGTGGATTTGGAAGCCCCTGTTCAATTTACCTGTAAGGCCACATCTCCCAGTGAGAACTTGACCCTGTGGTCATTTAGTTCACCCTGACTGAACCCAGCCCCACGTGTGTCTGAATCCTGGTGCCACAGGAATAACTTGGTTCTAGCAATCCTTCCGGCTACACCATCTCCCAACCCCTCAGATAAACAAGAGCTTTGGGAGATTTCTGGTATTATGCCAACCAGAGCAAGACTTCAAGCAGAGATGCTGGCTTTTTTTTTTTAAACTAACCTGAGTATTTGGGAGTAATAGCACGCAGTTCATTAGTAGTAGACCTCCCTGGTTAAGCTTTAAAAATGGCCACATTAGGACTCCAAAATCAGTTAGTAACAGTTGGGGAAACTACCCCAGGAAGATATGAAAAAGATTATCAAGAAACCAAATTCAAGGACTTGTTTTAGAAGTGTGGGGCAGCGGGGAGAAGAATGAGAACAATTAAAATGAAAAATTAGCTGCAGGCAAAGTCCCACAGATGCGAAAAGAGAAGGAGCAGGAGGTTGGGGGAAGAAATGACAAGAAACAAAGAAAAACATGTGGCCAAATGCAGGAGGTAGGGAGACAACTTAAATCAAGAGAGAGAAAATAAATTTTTTGTTATACTTTTACGGAAAGTTTGCATAAACAATAGTCATATGTCTTTAGATTTTAAGATATGGTTAAAAGGAAACACATTGTGACCGTGTCGTAAATACTCCAACCGCTTTGGGGAGGACCGTCCGGTCCCCCGGTCTGCAGCCCTGCAGAGCACATAGCCGTGTACATTTTCCCCACGAAGGGCCCGCGTTCTGCTGAGCAGGGCTTGGCTGCTCTTGGCCTGTGGCTTGGTGGCCTTCTCCACCCCTTTTAACTTCCCCCACCTGGTGTAGCACACGCACACGTTGAGGAGTGCAGTGTAGACACATGACTGCTCCACAGAGTCCAAGCCAAGAGCAAAGGCCTGGGGGCTCCGCAGCACGTGCACTTGTGATAGAAGCCACCGGAAGCTTCCCGGTCAGCTTCCAATCTTTTAACAACTTCTTGTCATTTTGAAGGCCACAGCTTAGTTCCTGGTTTTCTTTGGTGACAAGGAAGACACATGGAGGCAAAAAGGGAGCAGCAGTTCGGGCGCGGTGGCTCACGCCTGTAATCCTAGCACTCTGGGAGGCCGAGGCGGATGGATCGCTCAAGGTCAGGAGTTCGAGACCAGCCTGAGCAAGAGTGAGACCCTGTCTCTACTAAGAATAGAAAGAAATTATCTGGACAACTAAAAATATATATATATAAAAAATTAGCCGGGCATGGTGGCACATGCCTGTAGTCCCAGCTACTGGGGAGGCTGAGGCAGGAGGATCTCTTGAGCCCGGGAGTTTGAGGTTGCTGTGAGCTAGGCTGACGCCACAGCACTCTAGCCAGGGCAACAGAGCCAGACTCTGTCTCAAAATAAATAAATAAATAAATAAAAATAAATAAAAAGGGAGCAGCAGCTAGTGAGCATCTTCCCTGAGACTCCTTAGGGGAGAAGCGCCCGACCACGCCACAGTCCTCGACCCTTCCAGAATCCTGCTGGAAGCACCCTCGATATGATATGATGAGAACGGCACTTTATCTCTGTGGTCCTCCTCCCTAAAACACGTAACTCCAGCCTAATCGTGAGGAAAGCATAAGATACACTCACACTGAGGGACATGGCACCAAAAGCCCGACCAACACTCCTCGAAGCTGTCAAGGTCATCAAAAACAAAGAAAATTTACGAAACTGTCTCAGATCATGGAGATTAAGTAGATATGACAACTAAATGTAATATGGTACCCTGGATGGGCTCCTTGAACAGAATGACAGTAGGGACAAACTTAAACCTGAGGAAAATGTGGACTTTTGTTAATAATAATGTATCGATATTGGTCCATTAATTATGACCAGTGTATTGCACCAATGTAAGATGTTAATAATAGAGGAAAGTCGACATAGAGTAGACAAGAACTCACAGTCCTATCTTTGCAATAATTCTGTGCATCTAAAATATTATAAAAGGTTTATTTTTAAAATGCAGTGGAAGTGCTTTACTCTCAAAAACTCTCTACAAAACGTGCTGGCTGCTGAAATTCCTAGGCAAGTCTCTCTAATTCCTAGGAAAGTCTCTTCTACCAATTGGCTAGTGCAAAAGTCAATTGTAAAAGATACCCTGTGTTATGCTCATTTGTCTGACTTCTTATGGGGACATCTGGAGCCCCCTCATCCACCTAATTAGGTCCCTTTTAAAGACAGAAGACACAGAAGGGAAATAACCGTAGAAATGCCATCGCTCTATCCCAGAGGATCTTGCAACTTTCCCAGTCTGAATATTGATCCTTTGATGCTCAACACAGATACCTTCTCATGAACTGCCTTCAACTAATACATGAAGGACAAAAGCGGGGCAAACAACTGTCTTCTCCAATCCCTTTAAGATTTGCTCGTTATCTGTCACACTTGTCTTATCAACAATGACGAACAATGTGAAGCTGCTCTGCGTCAGACAGATGTCCTGATCCCTAAATGCCAGAGCCACTGAGCTGTTACCAGCTTTAGAGGAGGTGCCTTGCAGGGGGAAGCTGCCTCCACAATACAGCACAGAGTAAAGAACGCCAGGCGCTGTCTGGAAGCGCAGATGTAAGAAGGTTCCAAAATAATTTCCCAAGGTAAATTCTCAACCCATCCTTAAAAGGGGGTCGCATGGAAGTCGAACAGGTTACCAGTTACTTACCAGGCCTCTGATGAATCCGCTGGTGGCAGATGTCCACAGAAGCCTTGGAGTATAAAAGGATCTTAATGCAAAGGTGAGTGGAAACGAGATTGCGGTGATCCGTGGACCCAAGGAGGGCAAGGCAATAGACACGTGAAATTTAAAATGCCAGCGATCAATGTGGTTATCAATAACTGAGATCAAGAATGAGTCCAAATTTTAAGAGCATAACAACAAACAAACAAAAATCCTTGAAGGAAAGTAAGATAAACCCAAGGTAACAGAAAAGAAAACTAATGCACGGAGCTTTACAATAAAGGAAGAGAAACAAAGGGAATGTGAAGGAAGGTGACCTAGAGGAGTTTATTTGATGGGATTTGGAAGCTGCTCAAATCACCCACCTGCGTGGTTACCCAGATAAGCACACGCTAGCTCAGGACATAGGACATTCATTCCATTTGGGCGACAGATACCCGCCCCAAGGTCCTACATCTGACCAAGAAGGAAAGAATTTGCTCTCTATTGAACGTGAGTAATTCAATTTTGCCCTTTAGATTCCAAACTAACTTCTCTGTCCTCACTTTTCTTACCTAACACATTGTATCTCCCTCCATCATACTTCCAGTGCTATTCTTTTAAGCAGATTCACCAAAAAAAAAACCTCTACTCATCCTCTTTTGGGTACAGCAGCCTCAATTTTTCTTGAAATTCCTGTAGGGAGCGATGTGCTGTGTGGATATGTTCATCACACACATGATTAACCGTTTGCTTGACAGGCAAAATCTGGAACCACCGAGCCTGAAGAGAGAGAATATCCCTAAATCCAAGTATTCCCACAGTAGGGATAAGATCTTACAGTTAAAGGAAATATTAAAGTCAGGTGCATAACTTCTTTTTATTATTCAGTGGTTCTTGATATCACAGCCGCCAACGGGGTAGGAAACAAGGATTGAGTACACTGCTTGGATCTTCTTTATGGAGGGGAAGAGAGGGGAATCCACCACTCTAAATGCTTAAAAGTAAGTTAAAACCATTTCTTTTGGAAAGACAAGATTTTTATGAACTGTGATCGTTCTCTCCCAGGAGTCGGAATCCTGCTTTCCGTCTTCTTAAGTCCCGCATCCCCTCCATGCGTCTCGTTCACTGGATCCTTCTGAGAGGGACAAACAATTACCTTTCTTCGACCACAATGGCTGAGGGTCCTAGAGTAAAACTCACATACACTCCTCGTATGCTTGTTCGTCCTAACTTCATGCCTGAAAAAGGAAACGTCTGCATTGAGAGTTTAAAATATATAAACAAACATGTACAACTACGATAAGACGTGTTCCTCAAAGTAATCACCTTGGGGTCTCCAGACACTTATCCAAAAGACACTGTTATCATTTTAAAAACGATTTTTGGAAGTCTGCTCTGGGTATTGCCTTCACATGAAAATCAGCCTCAACTTTATGGCTCCATATTGCTTTTGACTAAAAGTGCAGTTTCCTAGCTTAATCATTAACTTGACATCAAATCACTTTGGTTTGAAAAAAATGAAGTCTATTCTCCAAGGACAAAGAGTTGCCACAGTGAAGAGAATCAAAAGAATGTATAATAGGTTCTGAAGGCAACGAAACATGGAGGCCTTCCAAACCTGTGCGAGTGACTCACTGGGATGTGTGAACAGCATCCTGGAGTTTGCTGGGGACAGCGTCACATTCACTTGGGGACAAAGGCGGTGATATGAGTGCTAATGAAAAGGAACCCCCCAAATTAACCACATTACTTTGTAATTTCATACAGAAAATTATATGCATCTCTAACCGTCACTCTGTTTTAAATTGAAACAGTTAGCTAAAAATGTGGGTTTTTTTTTTCCAACATTGCTGGAAAAAGAATTTTGATCAGAAACTTCCATTTTTAGTTGTTTTAACTCAGAAGCTCCAATAATAAAGATTGTGCAATAAAAATTTGTTATGAAATCATATTAACTAAAGATAGAAATAAATTGACCTCACCTAAAAGTTTCTCTCAAGTACCAAAAAAAATCCACTTAGACATATAACCAAATGTTATTTAATATCTTAAAAAGTAACACAATCCAAAATGGATATTTCACACAATACTACATAAACAACATGAACACAATATTACCATATGGAGGGACTTTCAAATATAGACTTACAAAAATCCCTGTCCTTTTTTTTCTTTTAAGTTATTATACTAAGCATGACAAGTAATCATCATTTACAATATGGTACACTGACACGATAAAAACCATGTTACAAATGTGCTGTTATAAATCAGTAACATTAGGGAAGACATTTCATGAACTGTAATTATTTCATATGAAATACTATACAATATAAACAGAACATCCATCTTGGATGACCTTTACAGCAACCAGAGACCAAGTAATTTAAAATTTTTTTTTTCAGTGCAAACACATTTTATTCAAGGCAGTCTTGGCTGCAAAACTCCTTTCTAACATACAGTAAACCCCACTTGCACTTCTTAATTCATTTACCCTAATGCAATAGTCACATTCAGTCACTCAGAGAAAGATACCTGCAGAATTATGATCCCTTTAAACTTGACGTTTAAATTTAATTCTCTTCTAGAACGTAGTATCTATGTCAACTGCTCTAAGGACTTTAATCTGTAGCCGTCAATACTTCATGAAGGTGACTCCAGGGCAGCCCTATTCCTAACCCAGCGTGTGTGCACAAGGTTGCAGTGTCCTGCCCTTCCAATGTGGAAAGTGTGCCGGTACCTGGGTGGGGGAATGGGACGGAGGACCTGGCAGGGAAGGAAGGGGAGGTGCTGAGTGTGTACTTCATGACTGACTTCCTGGAACTGCAGAGCACTGATGTTGGAGGAGATCTCAAGTCTCAGATTTGGTACCTTTTTGGTGGGAGCAAGGGCACGGGGGTACCAAGATCAGCCTTTGGACAGGGAGGTAGGCAGCTGTACGTGGACCAGCCACACCTCTCATCTTACACTTCCAACCTTCCAGAGTCGTCACTGCCTCACCTGGAAACGCCTCTTGCTCTTGTTGGCACAGGCTGTGCGTGTGTTCACACTTAAAGCCAACGATTAGCAATTAAAGCCCTGTTACTGGTAATACACAATCATAAGAAAGTTTAGTCCCCCTTGAGCCTTGCAGAATAAGTAACTGCAGAATTCTGAATCTTGTAGCTCATCACCTGTAAGTCATAGAACAACGGTAAAGACGTGTGTTAGGGGAGCCGTCACTGGGAATCTCTTTCTGGGTCGCTGCAGGAGAGGCAGAGATTGACTCGATCAGCGAGGTGCCAATGTCTGTTTGAAACACACGGAAATCTAATAATGAATTTTTTTCACGTATGTAATTTATGAAATGTCTCCTAAATAAAACTCTATGGGGAAAATGTTGGATGTATCCTTAATACTATAAAATCTTCTGGGAGAGGGATGGGTGACAGCTGATTCTTTTATCTCACTCGGCAAAGCTCAGACCGATAGTTATCTCTTTCCTGCCTGTATTTTACTAACCCAAAGCAAAACAAGGTTTTCCATGCTTTTTGCATGCATTTTTCCTGTTATAGCTTCCCTAGGCCCTAAACATGTGCAGGAGAGTCACTCAGTAGCAGAAGAGTACTGGATGACCTTGACAATGGGCAGGACAGTCCTGGGGGCAGCGGGGAGAAGTGGTCCCTTCTGCGTGGGTCCACTGAAGTCTGACTGCACACTGCTAGTGGGTTCTGTGACTGGTCTGTGCAGCGGAGAAGATCCCTGCCAAGGATCTTATGTCTCCTAATTTGAGAAGACACGTAGGACTGGATCAGCTCCCTCAGAAATCTAGATCCTCCAGAGTAGGACTCGATATATTCTACTGAATTTCTATTGTGCTCAGGAGCACTGTGAAGAGTACTTGATAAAGTTTTTAATTAAAATTTCTGTTTCAGCACCTTCCACTGCCAGGAGCAGTCATGTTCCTGAAAGACGGTATTTTAGCACAGGAATTATAGAAACCCAATAGGAAACCGTAAACAGGGTGTATGTCCAGATCTGCCTCTTACTACAATGGCATTTGGGTGGATTTGTTAACCTCCCACTTCATAAATGGATACCAGTAAGGTGTGCTAAGGTGTAAAATTCCAAATTTTTGAATGAACATGGACAAAGGTGTAAAGTTGTATTTGTTTTCTTTGACTTTATTAGCACACATCAGAAAAATAGCATTGTATTTAGTGATTTCTCGTGATCTACCGAACAGATAGAAAATAGGTCATAGATAGCTGCCACTGTGCTTCTAGGTAATCTTAAGTCACTCCTTCTGTTTATTCTTTTCAAGTACGGATATTGCAAGTATGACTTGCTTTGTTAACTGTTTGTGAATCCGAATGCTTTGGAAGCACTGTGAGATCCCAAAATGAACTACGCAAAGTCATTACTGGTTGTTGGGTTTTTAAATCAAGCTCCGAATACTGCCCACGTTATAAATGGCAAGACTTTCAAAAAATGATCCCTATTGTATTGTGAGCGATATGCCTATAATTTAAGCTAAAAACTTTACTTTCAAGTACACTTGGTGGTAAGTGGTTTATCCTGGGTAGAATTTTACAAAGCTGTGCCAACCTAAAAAAAGGAACAATGTTTCCGCTTCCACTAAACAGGTTTCTTCTCCCCATGGTGACTGCAATATAATTTAAATTTACATTTTAGAAATGCTGGTTGGGTTATGAAAAAGCGAGATTTTGGAACAGCTGGTGTTCAGATCATTGTTAGTCCAGATTAACTTTCAATGTATGCTTCCTGAACTTGAGCTTCACACCATCAGAGAAGCAGTACTTTGTTATTTTTACCCAGCTAGTTCCTTTTCACCTCTTCTATTTGTTCTATTTGATGGCACCCCTCCCCCTCAGATGCTCGTTATGGTCCCCTGAGATGTGCAAAATATATATAATGGAATACAAATTATTTAACAGAAGTTGTGGGATTCACAGCACAGCTCTTTTAATTAAAGTGAAGTCTGGGCTCGATACGGTGGCGAGTGAAGGCAGAAAGGCCCAAAGTGCTTCAAGGTCGGCAGTCCAAATTTCTCATGTGTCTTCTGTTACTGAAAACCTAGAATTCAAATCAGACTTCCATAGGAGTAAATAGCTTGCTACATCATATTTGCCAATTGGCTCTTCGCCAGGTAACTTTTAGCAGGGATGGGCAAGGGGGACACAAGAATTTTTGAACTTCTGTTCGTTCATAACAAAATCAAGTGCTCTTTCGTGGGGAAGAGAGGAGAAGACAGCATTACATCTGAAAGCCAAATGCAGCAAGAGCAAGCCATGGCAATGGGAGAGTCATGAGTCCACATAGGCAATCACCGACACACACACAGAACGCCATGGCCTAACGTTTCAGAAAGTTTTAAACTTTGCTTTTCTGAACAATACACTTTAACACACTGCTGCCATTTCATCAAATTTATGGAGGTAGTTATATGCAAAAATAAAATTACCATAAAGTAATATGCTGTATCATAATAATACATAAGTGTGCAAAATGCCGACAGATGTGTTGACCCTTTAAAGTTGAACGCTACACAGAGATTCAACCGGATTCAGTTTTGTAAACCTTTCAGTTGATAAACTCTAAGACTGGATAAGCAGGCATGTAACACAAAGCTATGCATTCGCTGGAGGAAAAGGAGATTGGCGAAGCTTGGTGAGAACCACCTTGGATCACACTGGAAATGGGCTTCCCGCCGCCGCACCTCCCCTGCTCAGGAATCCTCATGAGACGCGGGCGGGAATTTTCTATGTGGCACGTCTGCTTACAGGTACCATCCTTAAAGTCCATCATTTCTATGCTAATGGCTGCTGGTCTATGGGAGTTGTTTTGTCTGTTTGTTTTTTAAATCATGTACCCCATAGCATCAGGCAAAGAGTGTACACATTTTATTTGAATAATGTCTTCTGTAAACCCATTTTTTGTAAATATCAATAAATTCCTATCTTAAAGCTTCTCTTAAAGGTAATGCTTTCCATTCCTGTTCACACAGCATTTGATTATTTCAATGGCTACTTGCAGAGGATCAACTAGAGGCTGATGTATTGTTTCGATGGTTACATTATTTATGAACTGATAGTATGATAAAAATTTGAGAGTAGGTTTTTGGGAAAAAATGAATTGAGATCGAAAAATTTAGTCACTGTATGGTATACAGCTCCCCAAGGAAACAGACTATGCAGTCTATCAGATACACCATCGTTGTTCTGGACATATTGAAGCAATGAGACAGACAATGCATTTCTGATCAACCCAGGCATGCCTCAGGGGAAACAAGGCCTGAGCTCGAAAGCCAACTGGCTGATGCATTTCAATGGTGTGGGAGTTTACTAAGAAACGTGCTGGAAGTTTCACTATAATAAGCACAAAAAAGAAAGTCCAGTTTGGCCCAATGCAACCTTCAAATAACGGAAAAAGCATGAGGGAGTATTGAAATGTTTCAAGAATTAGTCCAACTATGTATATGACTGCATTCTTGAAACAGATGGCTAGGGATTAAACCTAATACAGAAACAGAAGTGTCTAACAAATTTTATGCCAGTTACTGAAATCTGAGGTGAAAATATTTTAGATTTATTTTTGGAGATATATATATATATATATTATGGTATATGGCTCCAAACAGCACATACCGCTAAACTAAATAAAACTTCATGTCAGACCACTTAACTTCCATTATCTACAGATCTATTCCATTGTTCTCGGAAAATAAAACAAGGGAACTTTGATACGTGTCTTTCCTATAAGATTGAAGCTGAATTAGTTGTAATCCCTTCGCTGCTGAGTCTGAGTCTTTGTATTCGACATGACATTGTAAACCAAAGCAAAAAGGTTAACAAACCATTTTGAAATCAGTTGGGCGAGTAACTATACATCCACCTAAAAATGCCTCCTGAAATTGGTTACAAAGTATCTGTAAACATTACTCTGGCATAGTTCATGTATGCATAATTGTTATTCTCATAACTTTTAGGGGAGTACAAATTATGATTATAGCAGAATGAGCACATTCTGTTTTTCATTACATGGGCACATGTATATTTCTAATCAAAAATTATTTTAAAAGTTTTCTCTATAGATATCTTCCCAGGAATAAAAGGCCTGAAGTTCAACTCTCCCTAAATTTGCTCTTTCCTATAACCACTAAAAATTATCTCCCACAGCCTAATTTAGGCATTCTATTTAAAACTACATAAAATAGATTTATGTCCTTCCATTAGAAAGAATAACATCCTCAGGCCATACTCTTCATTTGTATCACAAAGAACATTTTGCTTTTAAACAAACTAATTATTGTATCTATTATAGTAAGATAGGATCACCATAAGTATCACAAGGAGGAAATTACCCTCCTTCGATATTTGATTAACACCTTTTAAAAGTCCACATCACCTCTTCCATCACTTAGTGCTGTGCCCCAGCCAGAATTGGAATTCCCTTCCTTTGTCCACTTCAGATTCAAAGGCCTATATTCCTGTTTGTGATTATGGAAGGTTAAAAATCAGACAAGCATCTGTTACACTTGAAAACAAAATTCTGACAGCAAACACTCCCAGTATTTCCATCGCGACCCCTTCTCACACACTTCCATGGGCTCTTGCGGAACAGCGTCACGAAAACTCACAGTGAAAAATGACTGGTGCATAAACAACTCACACACAAAGGGCTGGGGTCCCTTCTAGTCAGTTTGGCATTGGTTTCCCTCAAGGTGGACCCCTGCATCTGACATCTTGTGGTGGCTTAGTTTTTTGTGTTTTTTTTTTGGAAGTGTCAAGGATCAGTTCTGCAGCATCATTTAGCCACAGACTGGGAGCAACACGCATCTGTGGCAATTAAAATGGAATTGGCAACTGTATGACATTGAAAATGCATATTACACTTACAGTGTCTAGACTTTCCTATGTGTGCTCAGTTACAATTAGTGAAGCAAAAGTATACATATCACCCCTACTGCTATTCAGTTGCTACAGAGCCAAAAATGTGAAAAGCAATACTTTGAAATAAAGATTTTTGTTGTTGTTTTTTTTTTTTTTTTTGCCCTAGCCTACTTAGCAGCACAGTTTAAGTAAACACAAAAACTGTGGTTGAGATGCTTGTCTTTCCAAAGATGTAAACATCAGTCCCAGTGTCGTAAACTTTGCTGTATCGAATGAGACAGAAGGTCTGAGGCAGAATGACGATCACACACTAGTCACAGAAGCTTGCAAGCAGTTGGAAGGTTTCTGTAATTTCTCAGCTTCGTTTGTCGGGGGGTCCGTGCTTGCTCGGAAGTTGAAGGCTGGAGCAGCTCCGCCATGGGCCGGGCTCAGCGCCGGGTTCTGACGACGGTTACTTTCAACAATGCTTGACGTGTTGGAAGCCAGGCTCTCCCGAGTACTAAAAGAGTAAAGAGGGTTTGTTTTGTTTTGTTGTGAACATAAATAATTATATATTGAGCCCCAGAGGAAGAGCAAATGATGTCGCTAATGGATTTCCTCTGTTGGGTCATAATGTCCTATCAATACACATCTCGACTGATTATTCACGTATGTGCCTCCAACGTGGGCTCCAGAAGCTTCCACAGACATGTTATCATCAACAGCTCACTAAGTGAATAAGGGTTTTGAAACAGCTAAATACACTTGGAAACGTCTCCCCCTTCTTTTCACATTCAAGGAAATGACTTTGAATTTGAGGTGATGGCTATCACATTCGTTAGAAAAATGAATACTCATAAATATGCCTAAGTTATGATTTCACTTTGGGCTGGAAATTCATTGGCATAACTGCTCCTGAATAAACTCAATAATTTTACCCTAATGATTCATTTTCATTCTGGATTAGCAGAGTTGGACTTTGGTGGACTCAGAGTAAGCCACTCTCTAACATGCCCTGCTGAAAATTTGTTTTAACACTCTATACCTTTGTTTCCTATTTTCACACTTTAGTTAAAATACATTATATTTTCAGATAAAGGACTTTAGATTTTTCTTCCATTCACTTGTGAAGTTTACATTCATGTCTGCCCACCTTTGGTAGAAATATTTTCTTTTTTTCAAAGAATGCTTATGGAATAGAGGTGTTTAAAAGTTTTATTGTTTTGATTTCTCTTTTAATTTTTCGGAGTCAGAAACATTTGAAACTATTTGTTTGCTTTAAGAGATTTAGAATATCTAACATTTCAAATGCATTTGAAATCCATAGTGCAATAGCAGAAATAAGATTATGGGGCCTGATTGAGGGGAACTGAATAGGTATCACATTCAAGGCCCTCAAAATGGCTATAAGAAAGTTAGCAGCTTACACAGAGATTGCAAAGCCATAATCATTCTTAAAACATCCACCCCATGGGGTAGAGTCAATGTTTAGAAAATATTCCATAAGAGTTGGTCTCCATAAATGAGTTAACCCTGCTAAAGCTAGTCAACAGGTCAAACTAGCATGGTGGACACTGCCGCTCCGCCTCTCTCATTCCCATTCTAAGCTGACGGCAGTTTTGTCTGAAGCCTCTACCTTGGTAGCCCTTTCTGAAGCGTTATTTCAGCCTTACCCCTTGTGGCTTTGAGTTTGTTTCTCATCAAGAAGCCAAGAGTTAATTGTTTCCAAGGCAGTTTTTTGATCGACTACCAAAAAGACAACTAGACCTTTCTTGAATGTAGAGGGCGCTTCCAGAAGTTAATATTAATACATTCATAGAGATACGTCAAGTTCTTTGGTAATTACGATAAATCTGGGCACATAGAAATACTCCAAGATGTCTTCACTAAAAGGACAGAAAGCGCTAGACTTACCTACTTACCTGCCTGACACCTTCCCCAAGAACATTCATCAGTGGCTTTTCAGAGCTACACTGAGGCATGGGGTGAGGTGGAGGATGGAGGGAGGGCAATGATCATGGAGGATCTCAGAGACCTCGAGACACACACCTTCAGGTTCATTCTTAATCACCATAGTAACTTTTTACAGTATGTGACTTCCTCATCTCTAAAATGAGTAGGGTTAGGATGCGATTTACCTACTCACAGGGTGACTGTGAAGAAGAAATAAGCATCAATGAAGAATTTGTACACTAAAAAGCTAGAACAACATAAATTATTTGTTACACATCTAGCATATAATGAATTAAATAGTGGGTTGGCTTGGGAACTGATACATTACTAATGACATCTTTTCTATGGGAAAGTGCATTTTAAGGTCCAAAGGACCTACATTTAAACCAGCTCTTAAGGAATGAGCTTAACATTTATTAAGTCCCTGCTGTATGCCAGGAACTGTAAACACATATCATGGCAACAGATCATCTAAGTTGGGGTCTGTCTCTACTGTAAGATGCCTTTGACTATCTTTGACCACAACCAACACGTTAATAGTGATAAGTATATAAAGTATTCTAGTTTCTCCAAAGAATATATTTCATTATTGTTGTAATAATGACGACAGTCTGTGATATTCATACTAAGGGCTTTGGATATGATGATGAAAAAGTGAATGGAGATGGAATGTTAGCAGTGAAAATATTCCTCAAAGTTAAAAGCTTTTTTTTAAGAGAGCTAATAGAGTGCAACCTTAAATATAAGATTTCAGGATTTTATAGGCAAGAGAAATGAACCGAGTAGCTCTGTTTCCATCCTTCTGCATGCATGTGTTTCCTTGGCCCCAGGCCCCTGCAGCCTTTGGTCTCTCTGATTTCGTGTCTATCAAACCAGGTTTGGGGCTCAGATTTGAAAAAGCAGGCTTTTCATGTCAAGACTTTTTCATTTTCAGTATTAGATCTCATAGCATAGTTCATGTCTCTACGCTTTTTCCTTCTCAATACCTTTTAGTTCCCAAAAAAGGGACTAAAGAAATTTGGAAATGTGGCTACACATGACTTCTGGGGAGCACTGAAACCTTGGAGTATGGAGAAAAATTACTTTTTGAGGTCTTTTTGTTGGTTGAGTCTTAGCTGCTCAGTGAATTATTTACTAAAAGATTCTAATAAGTGGCCTAAGATTGCCATGTCCCACAGCAGTGGATGAAAACACTCCTCATGCTGGAGAATGAACTCTCTGGAAGTCAAATATTCTCCTTGGCAGAACATTCTCACGCATCAATAAGAAATCTAGTGAATTTATTAAGGTGTACGGAAAATGAGCTTGTCACCTTGCTTCTAATCAAAGGATATTAAATGTGAAAGGGATAAAATTAAAAACTGTTCTGTAGATTCTCTAACTGCATGAAATTTACAGGTGGTATATGTATATGAATATATACGTACTCACGTAGAGAAAATTCTGCCTAATGTTAGTGGACAGACATGGGGCTAATGTGTGAGGTTAGAATGTTAGAATGACCATTACCTTCTACCATCACATAGCATTTAACTTTAAGTACATAATTAAAAAAATAAAAATAAACTTACTTTAAGAAATAATCCCGGTCATAAAGTCTATATTCTGTACCCCAAATTTAGAGATAATAAACTATATTCTGTGGCGATACTGGTTCTACCGTATCATGACTATTTCTGTTTACCCCCGAACAAACAAAACTTTCAATATCATGCAGTGGTAGGTTTTTAAAACCCATTAAACGACTTCTAGCGTCTGTTTTGCAACTATCTCTGGCGTACTGTGGCTTTCTGTCTGTGGAAGTCCAGGGGCCAACAGGGCAACCTGAAGGGTCTGAAACTGGTTGTGTGAGAAGCAAGCAGGCAGTAGAGTCCGCATGATAAGAAACAGTAGAACATAAAGATACAGGCAAATAAGCCGCACCTTCCCTCAGCGCAGGTTCTGAACTTCTACCATGGATTGCACCTGCTATCTACTACTAGGAATTCAAGAGAAAAAAAAAGAGTAGAATAGGAAAACAGGCGAAAAAAGGATAGATAACACAAACTGGAAGATAACATAAGATTTGATTTGGAATACAAAATTATTTAGCAAAAACGATTTTTTAAAAAGTCACTTAACAGCCCAGTGGTTTTCAGGCTGAGTGTATGGCTCCCTGCGGCCTCCTAGGACTCCTGCAGGGGCGGGCGGGGGAATCCAGCACTTTCGCCAGGGCCACCTCTGAGCTCCATTCAGACTTTAGACTCCCACACATGTGTTAACTTGGAAAAAAGGCTCCATGACCAAAATAATAATACTAATCATCAAGAACTAGCCCTTTAAGAAATAACAAAGGCCTAAAATGGAATAAACTGACTAATTTGAGTCCCAATTCTGATTTTGGGATGCTCTGCCCACAAATCATCCAGAGAGATGGTGAAATGATCACAACGGAATTAATTTGAATTCTTAATAATGAAAATAAACGTATGCGGTACATAATGCTGAGTACTTGTTAAAATTTTAAGTGCTGTGAAATCTTGGGAATCGCAGCTGATAAGAAGTATCAATCTCTTAGCAGTATTTCTGCATCTCAGAGTCACCAATCTGGAGTAGAATTTAGAAGGAGAAAGAATCAAGTCCCCTGTTGCTCTCTGAGGAGAAGGAAGAGTTAAGCAGAAAAAAGGAAGTTGTATAGACTCTCGTTTCTTTCTTAACTCCCGAAAAACATCAGTGCTTTGGACATGACCATGGGGCAATACAAACTCTCAACCATCAACCCTTTGCTGAATTACCAACACCTACTACAAAAAAGGAACTATTTAGACTGCCTAAATGGGTTGTATCAGTTCTGCAGGAGGAGAAGTACAAGTGCTGGCACATGCTTTGATCTAACAGAGCACAGGCCCCCGACCCTTCTTTGAGGGGAGCAAGTTTCCATTTCTCTGTGGACACAAGGACAGTAAAAGGCAGGTGTGGGCACAAGGGGGCAGCCGCACAGAAAACAGGGATCAAAACAGCAACCAGCTTCTAGATCTGCTGGAAAGGTTTTAAGATCTGCTATTATACTCTTACTAGAGGGACCTCCCCGCCCCCCGCCAGCATGAATCAATTTACTCCCAACCCCTACCCCCACTAACTATTCATTCTACTCAGAAAGTTACAATTTTTGAACAACTTAAAAAAAAAAAAAAAAAAACCTTCCCATTGCATGGTGGCAATATGAACATAGAAGAAAAAAACACTGGGAAATGTCGATCTTAGTTAGATTGGACTGATGCAGGTTTGAGGGAAGGAGCCAACCCACCAGTCCAGATTGGTGATCTCTACAGCTGCAGAAACATTTTTTTCAATTCCTGAAAAAGAAGTTGGAAACAGGTTGTTAACAACACAACTCATACAACTCTTAACCCTCATTCACAGAACTGAGAAATCAGAAATATTTCACGTTGTGTGCATAAAGCCCCAGGCCCTGATAGGTGTATGTGTGTGCAGAGAGACCTCTCCCTACCGTGGGGAGTTGAATCCACTGTCCACCGTGATGCTGCTGCTGTCCATGCTGTCGAGCCGGGCTGAATGGGTGGCTCTCTGGTTGCTGCTGCTGTCGGTTTCTTTTGGGGCAAGTAGGGTGAGGTTCTTCTCAAATTTCCTCTGCAAGTCTCTTTCCTTTTCCCTCTCGAGGAGCCACTGCATGGTGCCCACATCATCTCTGTTTTTCTCCTCCTCCGCGTTTTTGTTTGCCCCTTCCTCAGAGTCGTCATCATCAGAGACGTTGTAATAGTCAAAGGATGCCTCCTGGGTCCCTCCCGACTCCTGCTGACGCTGGGAAGCAGGCATGGCTTGTGCCGCCGAGGTCCCCAGGGAAGGTTCCAGTTTCTCGCATCGGCCTGGCAGTGTGTCAGCAGGTGTCTTCGGGTGAGATCGGAGGAGGGACAGGCTCGATTTGTGATAGCTGTTTACAGACAAGGTGCTGTGAAGAGGTTTGAACAGTGTGTCTTTGCTGAATATCTCTTTCCTCTTGTCCAAGCTGCTGGGCTCGGCGCCGTGGTGCTGGACAAGGCGTCCGTTGGCGATCCCTTCGGCCACTCCGCCCGAAGCAGCTGGACCCCCACCTGGCCCTTTTGGCGACTCCTCCTTGTGCCCTACAGGCTCCCTGGAGGAATGGGGGGCCTGTCTATCAGATGGGGACAGCTTTTTCACCCCTTCTGCCAGGGTCAGAGTGTCATGGTCCTCCTTATTTTTTCCCAGAGGTGATGGTGCCGTGAGCACTGTCTCACTAGAGGTGTTGCACTGGAAATAGTCGTCTGTGGCTGTTTTTGTTGGACATGAGTTGAGTTCACCATAGGACGGCAAACTCTCGGGTGCTTTGCCTGGTTCCAAAAGGCTACAAGCACTGGAAGGTTCCTTGCCGCCACTGACTATTTCTGGAATACACACGTCTTTATAGCTTGTAGACGAAATGTGAGCCCTTTGATGACCAATGGTCTGTGCAGGCCTTAAAGTACTGTCGTCAATGTAGGACTGGCTGGGGGTCTGGTCGTCTTGGCTACAGCCTTCAGCAAGGTCCTCAGGCGTCCCTAGAGAAGAAGCACCCAGAGGGCCTTTGGAGTTATCCATGGACCTGGACCTCTCCTTGGCTTTGTTGGATCTCTCATTCCTGGACCTTCGGTCCTGGGTATGGCTGTGGCTTCGGTGCACTTTCGAGTGGGAGCTTCCCCTGGAAGGTTCAGGAAAAGGCATCTCAGTTCTCCTTTTGGCCAATTCACCAGACACGTCCCATTCCGGTGTCATGGGGAAATGCGACTCAATCACGTTCGTGTTGCTGTGCATGATAAAGTTATCTCCTTTGTGTTCGATGATGAAGCAGCCCTCCCTGGGGGCCCTGGTGAGAGGATCGCAAAAGTCATACTCTCTGTCCCCCGTGATATCCAGGTGCGAGCCATCCGAAGGGTCTCCCTTAGACACCCGCGTCTTGCTGTGGGACCGAGATTTTCCGTGGGACTTTCGGTGAGTCCTGCTCTTTTTACTTCTTCCGCTGTGATGGGCAGAGGACCCAGCTTTACTCCTCTGTGCTTTTTCTTCTTCAAGCTTCTTCATGAGCGCCGTGTGCCTCATGACGTTTTCCACGGTCAAGTCCGGGTTAATCCGCCTGATGATTTCCATTTCCACCTCCCGAGGGATGGTGGTCGGCGTGTCCTCATCTCGCAGGGGCCACTCTTCGGGGGGGAACTGGGCGGAGAAATTGGCCAGCTGTTTGGTCTTGTCTTTTTTAAAACTTAGCCGGAATAACTTGAGCCCGAATTTTTTGGACTGCTTTTCACTATCTTTCGGTTTTGAGAGAGTTTCTGTCTTATAAGAAAAGTTTACAGTACTTTTGCTCTTTTCAGTGGGTGGCACCTGGCACAGAGAGGGAGGGCAGTAAGGGTCTTTGCAGTCCTTGGCAGGTTTCCTCTGCAGAGTGGACGCGTGCATGCTGTGCATGTCCTCTCGGCAGCAGTGGCAGGAGTCGCAGTGGTTTCTGGGCAATGTCCTTTCCCTGACGCAGCCTGAGGCAGAGGGCGTTATGGTCCCGGGCTGTGGAGAGGTGCACTGAGACCTGTCAGGTATCCTCTCATCTAAATGGTACCATTTACTGTTAGTTCTTATGAGGGAAGGAGTTATGAAGTAAGTCTGTGGGGTCACGATGAAATAGCCATCCGGAGTCGGATAGATCTTCCTCTCCCGCACCAGCGTGTTCAGCGTGTGCCGCAGGATCTCTTGGCTTGGGGTCGGGACACCTAAAACCAAGAAAACACACTTGTGAGAAGGAAGAGGGAACATGTGGTTGATGCCTGGTTTTCAGAATCCTATTAATTTTGCCCAGATTCAAAGTATCATCCCCTGGCAAGTAAGCAGGATTCAGACAAAGGTGTTCACTAGATTTAGCGTGAATCCCAGTTCTCTCTTGCAACTCCTGTGCTACTACCGAGGGAATGAGAAGATGTACACTCTGGCAAGAGCGGCTGGAAGCTAGACGGAGTTAGATTGCTACTGTTATTACAAAGCCTTTACTGAATGAAATCATGAAAGATACATTTTTAAGTGAGAGAAGAATGGAAAACTGTTTTATATGATATAAGATAAATTTACAGAAAAGACTTTTTCAATAAAACCAATTAGGGAAATGGTTAAAATAGCTATCTTGGTGCTGAAAAACAGATCTAACATATATAGAGGCTACCATATGGGACCTGCTCTATATACTCATTTTTTAAAATTATGTTTACTTAGTAAACTTAATTTTATAAATTATATAAAAGGGCAACTAGACCTGGCCACTGTTTATGATGTGCCCTCGAATTTTGAAATCATCACCTTCAATTTTGAAACTGGCTACAACACTGGTGAAATTCAGGTGAGAATGTTCTCCCTTTTGGTGTAAGTCGGCAAGACGGAAGTGGTTTCTCTAATTTCTAACCGGAATGAAAGCTCAGACACTCTATGTCTGTTTGATCACTACATCCTGAACTCCCATATTTGCTAGACTAGAAACACCGGAAAAAAAAAAAAACAATAGAAACTTCTTTGTACAATGAATGATATTGTTTTCAAAGGGTTTTGTGTGTATGTTTATGCCTTGTCTACCTTAAAAAACAGAATTAAGATTATAATTTTTTTTTAAGAGATGGGGTCTTGTGCTGTTGCCCAGGCTGGAGTGCAGTGGTGCAATCATAGCTCAACTGCAGCCTCAAACACTCCTAGGCTCAAGTGATCCTCCCGCCTTAGCCTCCTGAGGAGCTGGGACTACAGGTGTGAGCCTCTGTGCCCAGCAAGAGTATAAAGAGTATAAACTCTGGAGAGAGTATACATTCCCCAGACTACAGACCATTTATTTTATTTCTTGGGCATTCTCCATTCCTCAGTACCAGGCACATAAAGGGTGATAATACTTGTAAGACTGAACTGAATGATATTATTTGGAAATAGGTCACGTTGCATTGTATGAAACTGCCAATATTTAAGCAAGACTGAAACACAAAAATGGCAATTTCATGTGGTTCGATCTAACACAATTAAGGCAGTATAATGCAGAGACTAACAGCATGGATTCCGGGGCCAGACTGCTGATTGAAGTCCCAGCCCTGTCACTGCTAGTGTCACTCCCAAACCTCAAGTACCACCTGCAAATATGACCTTATTTGGAGAAAGGGTCTTTACAGAGATTGTCAAGTTAAAAAGAGGTCATTAGGGTGGGCTCTACTCCAATATGATGGGTGTCCTCCTAAAAAGAGGAAATGTGGACACACAGACAGGTGCAGACAGAGAGACAACCACATGAAGGGACACAGAGGGAAGATGGTGTCCACGAGCCAAGGAGACGGTGTCATAGCCTCAGAAGGGACCGACCACCCCTGTGGACATCTTGATTGTGGACTTCTGGCCTCCAGAGCTGTAAGATGATAACTTCCCATCGTTGATGTCACCTGCACTGGGTCACAGCAGCCCTAGCAAACTAACAAAGCTGGTATGACCTTGGGCAACTTAACCTTTCTGAGCCTGTTTACTGTCAACCAACTTGTGGGAAATAACAGTTCCTACCCTCTGGGGCTGCTGTGTGTGTAGAGCAGTGCCTGCCACACTGAGCGCTCAGTAAACATTAGCTGTTCGTTCTTTTCAACTGTGGGTCATTACCTTCAAAGAACAGTGTGCAGCAACCTAGAACTGGGTGAGCTGCGAAGCTGAGGCTCCCCCAGTCCTTCCAAAACTACCAAAGTAGGAAATAAAGGCATTAAAAATAGCCAGGAATTCTCAAAAGAGAGACTCTATGACTGTGAGGTGACATACATACCCCATCTGTGTTATCATCTTCAGGAGGCATCCTTAGTGACCCAGGCAGAAAAGTTAACATTGTTCACAGATCGTGTATTCTTTAATTATTTAACTTTTGAGTCACAGTTTCCTTTTAGTCTAATGCTCTACTTTTGATAAGCGTACACTGGTTTTTATACAAATAATTTAAGACCGGTATAGCAACAAAAATTTTTTTTTTTTAATTTTATGACACTTTCTGTACAAAATAGAAATGAATTTTATTTAAATTAGTGATCTAACCCAAACCACACACATGTAATTCTTAAGTGCCATCATAAAACAAAAACTGCTTGCACAAAAGATAAGCAACTTAAAAGAGATTTTACACCCTCTTAATAAGCAGGACTTTCTGCGGAATAACTTCAGGGGACACCATGACACACAGTACAACTCCTGAGATGAGGACACGCCATCTACACCGTAGTCTCACGAATGATGTCCACTGTAGTCCTGCGGCACAGCAATTAAGAGAACAAGTCCACGTTTAAAACTCACTTTATCTTAAACGGCAGCATACTTTCAGTCACATCAAAACAAAGTTTTTCCAAAAACCGTAAGGCTCGTTTATAAGAATTCATGATTGACTATTAGTAGTTTGCCATAACTGTTAACGAAGGAAAGCTGAGGTATAATTCATAAAAACAGCTATTACTATAAAGTAAGAATTTAATTGTATTATAGAACTTGCCAGCTGTAGGCCTTCCAAACAGTGACCTTAGAAATCTCACGAAGCTGTATGGAATCGTGACTATAACGTATAGTCATCTTTACTTATCATTAAGAACAAGTTCTCTGGTGGTTTTCAAAGGAAGGAATAAAAAAGTTTCCATAGAGAATCTGTACTTAAGTGTGTTTATGTCTTGGATTTTCAGGTGTATCAATCAATCGATGTTCAGTTTGAAAAAACAAACTAGAAACATTATTTGCTCCCTGTCCAATCTGTTTTCCATACTCCTACTTGAGAGTTTTCAAGGATTTAACTGAGAGTTGTCGGTGTTTATGATTCTCATTGTATTATCAAGCCCTAGTACAGTGACTGGTATTTTTAATTGTCTATGAGATCCAGGGTTCTACCAGAGAGCTGCAGGGCTGACTTGAAAAAGTGAGGGCTGTGAAGGATGCTGAATGTTTGTTTGCATAATCCATCACTTCCAGATGCTAATCCATCAGGCATTCGGAGTTTGAGGGCTTAAAGAACAAACACAAGCTTCACATCCTAACAGGGCTGAACCTGACCTCTCTCCTTTTCCACACCTTTACCACACCTTTACATCTTCCAAAGCAAAAATGGCTATTTAAAAATACTGCATACAACGTGTTGTTGCTCAGACCGACACATTGCTTTAATCCTGCAAACCTGACAAACTGTCAGAACAGAGAGCACACGTACATGTTTGTATGTTAAGTATTTTAGGTTGAAAACTTTTAATGGGCATCTTTAGGTCATTCTCCTAGTCTGTGAAGAATGCCGGCTGAGGGAGAATTCAGTGAGAACCAACGTAAGGGGAAGAGCTGGAGAGTGAACACGGTGCAGGTAACATTAACATTCTGCAGCCCTCTCCGAAGTCAGTTTCGACGCCACCCCCAGCCCTGTAGGTCTCACTCCAAGTCCCTGAAGGCCAGCCTTCCTCCCAGAAAGATCCAGTCATGACAACTTAACAAGTCCTGGCCCAATTTAAATCATCATTCATTCTGGATGAATGGATGAGTAGCGATTCAGAAATCTGAGAGGCAAGTATTAATTTTTTTAAACCTTTTAAAAAAGAGACTTGAATCTGTAATGCTAACTGGTATATAAAAACTGTTGAGTTGATTTTCAAAAATTCAACCCAAATAGAAAAGTGATGAAAAGGTTTAAGTTTCAGCATATTAGACATTTTTACTCAAAGACTTTTCACTAAAAACTTTGTTTAGTATATGGATGTCCAAAACATATGCAGAGGCCAAGTTCTAGACTATTCCTTTTATCTATAAAATATGCATTAAGTATGAGAATTCAAATGTTTTAATAATCTTCAGTTAGACTTCAAAACTTTATTTTCAAATCGTGATAAAAAGAATGAAATAATTTACTCTTGCCTTTAAAAAACAAAAAATATAAATGACATTTAAATCCCTCTAGAGTTTTAGCATGACATTTTCTGAAGTGTTTTGTTCTGTTGTAGCTTAAGTGACAGCAAAAGAAAGGCAAGAAATTAAAGGAAGGAAAGAAAAGAAAAAAGGGAGGGAAATAAGAAAAGAAAGAAGGCAGGCAGGAAACAAAAGCTCATTTTTTATGAAATACCAGTTTAAAATCTGGAGCTACTGCTGAACAAAATTTTTAGTAATTACCACCATGCCCTTGACCAGAGGTCCACAAACTTTTTCTGTAAAGAGCCAGATAGTAAATATTTTAGGCTCTGTGAGCCACATGATCTCCACTGTACTCTCTGCCACTGTAGCATAAGGAGCCAAAGGTGATACATAAACAAACAGGCATGGCTGTGTTCTAATAAAACTTTATTTATAAAGATGGGAGTGGGCCACAATAGGCCTGAAGGCCATAGTTTGCAAGCCCCTGCCCTAGACTCAGGTTTGTGCAGTGTCCTTGTAAACTCCTGGGGCTGGCCAATAAATCATCAGTACTACAAAGATGAAAAAGGTTTAGTTAGCCCTTCAGTCCACCTGAAAACCTTGGGATTTAAGTTCACTTCCCATAAAAGGTAGAAAAGCAGTTATTCTCTTAAGTACAAATGACCCATGGATTTCTCTACAAAGTATTCCAACTTAGTGATATTGTTATCAACTGCTTGGCAGGGATGAACATTTTACTATCACATATGACTCTGTGTTCTTTCCACTCTTTATTTTATAGCCCAGTAATGGGAGGTATGTAACCAATTCAAAAAAGCTATGTGACCTCTCATGAAGCAATATTAAAAATACAAGGATTTAAAAAGCTGCTGGGTTGTTTGATGTCAGAAGTGGCTACGCACTTAGAAGGCTGCAAGAAGGGCCTTCGTCCACGAGAGAGAGCATTGTGTTTGCATCTGTTCCCCGCTTAGAGAGCTCTCACCTGGGATTCTGTTTATCTTACTACGGAAAGGAAAGGTTTGCCTGGAAGTTAACAAAAAGAGACAAACAATCAGATGGTGAAGACTATTTAGATAATAAGATAATACAAATTTAAGATAATTTACAGGTTGCAAGGGTAAGTTCATGTTAAGAGTTTTTGAACTATATAAATTACATCAAAACATTGATTAGAACATTTTAAAAGGAGAAAAAAAATCATCAGGAGAGAACAATAAAATTTCTCTGGAGCAAAAGAAAAAGTGAGGAGACCCAATATGGTGGATTAGATCACTATTTGGCTTAGAATCAGTCCTTCCGTCCCCTCCCCACGTGTGGGGTGCACTTCCCCACACCTTGCCTTTGGGTTGGGCCAGGTCTGCCGTGGCCAGTGCAGTGTCAGTGGGTGTGGTGTGTCCACAGGGTGGAAGAGCCCTTGTGCCATGGCCTGTGCTCTGTGCCTCTGCCATTCCCATGTACAAAATCGGCCTCCGCTTGTCCCCCTTTCCAAAGAGGATGGGGTACGGCTGCAGCAGAGCTACCCCACTTGCCCTGCCTGGGTCAGCTGCCTGCTGGGGAGCCCACGGACACACGAGCTAAATAAACGCCTATCATCCCATGCCCCGATGTTCTGTGGCTGTTTGTTACGCAGTGTTTTGGTAGCAAAAGCTAACTGACACAGTCAACAGCTTATATTTACTAAGGTCTCTCTTTCTTTTTTTTTAATACGAAGGGGTGGGGGAGTTGTAAGGAGAGGTGTTCAGCTGCCTTGTTTGTTTTTGTTGAGACAGACTCTACTTCTGTCACCCTGGGTAGAGTGCACTGGCGTCACTGTAGCTCACTGCAACTTCCCACTCGTGGGTTCAAAGCAATCCTCCTGCCTCAGCCTCCCAGGTAGCTGGGACTACAGGTGTGCACTGCAACACTCAGCTGGTTTTTCTTTTTCCTTTCTTTTTGGTAGAGACGGGGTCTTGCTCTTGCTCAGGCTGGTCTCCAACTCCTGAGCTCAAGCAATCCTCCCACCTAGGCCTCCCAGAGTGCTAGGATTACAGGCATGAGCCACCGCGCCCGGCCACTAAGGTCTCTTTTAAGTTGAATGAAAAATATATCAAGCATTTGTTTTTAATATACTCTCGATTTCAGTCTAATATACTCTCTATTTGACTCCACATCAAGGTGGCAAACTGGTCACCTAATAATGTGCTCGACCTGTATGCTGCTGGCATGCACATGTTATATGTACACACACACACACACACACACACACACAACTGCCAACATTTAAGGGAATCTAGAGATTTGACATAAAACTTAATTTCCAGATTCTCTTGAAAAATGAGATTTGGCAACTCTGGCAGGATTCTACATTTGGGCTTGGGGTGACAAAACTCCGGAGCTGAGGGGTGGGCTGCCTCTC